GTTTAGATTATTTTCCTAGAATAGATTCCAAGATCTCATTCAAAAGGTATGAACATTTTTGCCCTGGCCAGGTAGCTCAGTTGGTTGGTGCATTGTCCTGATACACCAAGGTTTTGGGTTTGATCAGCAGTCAGAGAACTTATTAGAGTCAGTCAGTGAATGAGTAGATGAGTGGAATAATAAACCAATGTTTCTTTCTCTCCCGCTCCCTAAAATTCTTTTTAAAATGTTATGAATATCCTAATGCTCTTTTTACACTTGCCAAATGCCTTTTCAGAAAGGCTGTCTGTATCAATTGCATATTCTCAAACTGAATCCCAAAGCCTGTCTCATCACATTCTCACTAGCTTTACATGTTTTCACTCTTAAGCATCTTTGCAGTAGCAGCTAATTTTATTTGGTGGTTTTGGGTATGAGATTTGATTGTCTAAATATATTGATTAGCTATTTTTTATTTCTTTTTATGAATTGTATTTAGGACTTTTGTCTATTTTCATATGAGCTTTTAAAAATATTTTAGGAACCAGCTGGCATTTTTTCCCCAGGGAATCATCAATCACTCTTAAATAAATAAATCTCTGTTGCTACTCATTCTTGGGCAAACTCAACATGCCCACATGAGAGAAAGTAATGGCCCAATTACTATTCACCGTCTATAGCTCAGTTCCTCTGCATTTAGATGTGGAGGCAACCTTTTATGTTCTACGTACAGTGTGCATGCCCTCTTATGTAGAACAAGACTCAACAATTGGTGGTAATACAGGCTTCTTGTCTCTCAATGTTAGCTGCTTTGAAGAATGACAGTTTCTTTGAGGTGATCCCTGAATCACCATAATGAATTTCATAAACACAATGAAGCCTAGGTTTTAGGTTAGCATAAAAAACTTATTAAAATGTAATTGAAATTGGCCCTGGTTTTAGGTGATGACCTTTGTTGTCATAGTTGTGGCTCTCGTACTGGTCATTACAGTTAACTGTATGTGTCATAATTGTGGCTATTTCCCCCAGTGTGTATATATATATTGAAGCTTTTATCTTTTTTGCTAGTCACAGTTACTGAATTTTTTAGTTTTCTTCCATCAGAAAGTCTTCCTTAAAATACTCAGTAATAATTATGGAAATTCTTCACAACCTTTGTGCCTCACCGATGGATGTATTGTTTCAATGATGAAAAGACTTTTATCTAAACTAGTCAGGGGGAAAAAAACCATCTGAAGCAGTTCCTTGTATTGGAGAGCTTACAGAAGAATGAAATTCATGTGTGACTGACAGTTGAGTCAGTATTTTCACAGCTTCATGTAATTTGTGAGGCTGCCTGATATCTTGGTTCAAAATAATCTATCCTGTTTCTGATTCTAATAGCAGTAATCTACAGCTGGACGTTAGGAGTATTTCCATAAGGCACTGCTCACCTTTCTCTGTAGAAGAGTTGATAGGTTATCCTGTTGGACCATTTCCACATGTGTGCAAGTCAATGTAATTACGTTGGTTTAGAGTGTGGCTTTGATAATACCTTTGTAACTGTTCATTTTGATGATAATCTTATCTTGCCAGTGGTATTTTACTCATCTTCCTTTCATCCCAGGAATATAGTCTTTTCTAACGGTGTCTCATAATTTTCTAGTGAAAGATGACTATAGCATCTTCTTTCTATACATGTAGAATCACGAGTATGATATTGCACCAGACACCTCTGTCATAAGACAGTGCCTCCCTATCAGGTTTGCCTCCTCCCAGGAGGCCTTTCTCTATGAAATCACATTGCTTTGCCTTAGAGCTCCTTGTCTACTTGCATTCACACAACATTACTGAAAAGATCTGCTCTGTAGATCAGATTTTCTTCGATCTTAAAGAGATTCACTCAATAGTGATTTGTCAAAGCATCTGCATTCTCAAAGCACTCAGGACAAAGACACACATAATTTGTCTTGGACATACCTGGAGGCTGACAATTCTAACAAGACTCGGATCTTTTCTGCTGATCTTGGGGAATGTTGGGAATGTATTTTCCAAATCTTCTCTTGTGAACTAAAAAGCAAGAAAGTTAAATCCATGAGTTGAATTAGGTTTTGGATGGCTGTCACCAAATTTGCCTTTAAATGCTTCCTGAATAGGTGAATATTCTTGAAAAATGTGCAACGATGTGATGAAAGTCTAGAAGTTATTCTCTGAGTCTAATCCACCCACAGATGTAAAGAAGTTAAGTGAAAACATAAGTTAGCATGCTTGTATATTCAATGCGTTATTTTCAAATATATAAATGAAAACAGGGATATTTATTTTTGTTAAATCTTAGCAGAGATCAGAAGAAAATATGTGCAAGCCTCTTTTTATACCTTTTGTTAGGATATGTTTCAATATTTTATTACTGAGTTGGGCTTAAAGTCAAAACAACCTACTATGGACCACAAAATATTTTCTGTTAATCTAGGCCTCTCCGTGGTCAAATATTGGCTAACTGTCTTAATTCCTTGGTATTTGCAATATATCTTACATGAGAAATGGGGCTGACCCAGAACAAAACCAAGCAATGAGCCAATAGCACAGAGACGTCATTCAAAAGAGATTGCTGAGGAAAGTTTTAGGGTTACAATTAGGTCTCCCAGAATATCTCTAGTTGGAGCAGGTACCATATGACTTATTGCCAATAAAATAATTGTACAATTTTAAAAATTATGTAAGTTTTCAGAAGCATTGCTGAATTTTTGGCTACAATATGAACAGTTTTATGCAAATATTGAATAACTTCTCTATCACACACAGTATTATTATCAGCCAGCAAATCCAAAGACCATTTGATATTGACAATTACATCAGAATAATGTGTTAGGTAAATGACATGAAATTGACCCTCTTTTAAATGAGTTTCGACTAATTTAGCTTAGATTTGCTGTTAGTGAAAATAGTGCACATTTGATTCCCAACTAAATCATTTACACGAAGAATTGAAATGGTGACTGTGAAAAGCTTTCTTTAAATAACATATTCAGTATATTTTTATCTTAACAGAATATACTTTAAAATTAAGGAATGTTGGCATTATTTCCCATTCACTGAATTTCAATTTGCTTTTAAAGAAACCTTCAGCCTTTAAAGAAATGAAATTTAAACTGAACTTTTAAATGTAGTCAGCAATGATTTTTAAAGGATTTTCTGTTAAGATTAACTATAGATCTAAGAAAAACCTTCATATAACTATCACTGAAGCTTTTTTAAATATTCTACTTAATGTTAAATATTTCATCTCTCTGCCCTCATTAAGTGTGTCTCATCAGATATGGTGTTATTAAATAGTTGTAACTTTACAACAGTTTTTTTTTATTTTATTAATACTGGCTTGGACTAAAGCTTCATTGGGTAGGATTAACTATATTTAAAGATGGCAAAATGCCATTATAACATTGATGCCAGAATTTAATGAGAACCAGAAGTTAACTTCAAGGATCTTCATAATTTAATATGAGGGCATGATCATATTCTGATTATTTTACTGTAGTGTCCTATTAAAAACAAGTTATTCTTTTTCTAATATTTTTTCTTATAAGTTTTATTCAGCAAACACTTAAGTATCCACTACGTGGCAACTATGTGCTATAGTCTTATCAGTGAGACTGTTTTCCATCCTCAAATAAATTTACTAAATTGGATTTTTTCTGATTTTTCTGATCCAAAAAAGTGGAAATGAGAAACACCTCCCTTATGCAGGACTGATGGCCTCTCTTGATCTAGAATGTCTGGTTTTCTAAGGCATGCATCTACCTCTCTAAGTTCTGTTTCTTCATTTCTTATATCGACCATCTTTGTCCCTGACATAGGAAGGTTGGAGAGCATGGATTACAACTGGATGTCCTAGTTGTGGTACTGATTACTATGGTGTCTCACAGGAAAAGCTTTGTAGAACGACACAATAAAATTGGACATAGGGCAGGGAGGTGAGCTGGCTGTAGGGTTCTTTGTCTTTTGAGAAAAAAAACTTTCTGTACTGAAGATGTATAGTGATGACTCACTATCTATAAAATGCAAGTGAACTTTATTTCCTGTTCTAAAAATGATCCCTGTGTGTTTAGAACTCAAAGCGTAATGGACCTAAAGCAAATGTCTGTGTTCCTTATTTTTTCCCCCATAATCTTATGTACACATACTTACAAAGAAATGCTGAGACCTGAAGTCCATGATGCATAACCACAAGAGGTAAGAAGTGAAATACAACAGAGGCAAAGGGAAAACTGTACCTCCAAATTCCAACTATTTAGCTTGTGCTCCGAGCTTCCTAGTGACTAAGGCAAAGAGAACAAACAGGATACCGTGGTGTGATCTTCTGCTTGTAAGATATAGTCCACCAGTTCTTCAGACACAAGCATTTTTCTAGTTCTCAATCAATAAGAACTGGTCTAGGTGATTTTTATAAGAAGCCATAAGCCACATCATGAATGATGGCCTCATAAATTTTTATAGAAGAAAAAGTATTCCACATATGTCATATCATATATTGGCCTTTGGAGAACACTGAGAGAATAATGTTAAAAGCAAGACATTTGTTTCCCCTGTGGGGCAGGGTGAGGGGGGTTTGAAACTTCTGGTATATTTACTGTAGATAGATGCTTATTTTCTTTTGACCCACTGACATGTGGAGCAGGAGAAAGATGTAAAGATGTCTAGTAAAGGGTAGCATTGTTAAAAGTAGGAGGGGATAAGTGAAATTTTTGTGGCAGGATGATATTTGCAAGACTGATCAGGCCGCTGGGAGGTGTTTAAATATGCCAGTTCCCTGTAACAGGAAGATCAGTCTCTGGTTTAGACAGCATATCCAATTTAGTAAATTATTATTATTCCGTCAAAATTAATGTGAACAATTTTCTCTTTGAGGCTGCTTTTTCCATAGGTGATGTTTTCCAGATGGGCTTTGTGTAAAACTCTTAATGTTTTATGTTTTCTTTCCTAGAAAAAGAGCCTTTTCTCTCATGTCTTCATTTCTCTCTCTCTTCCCCCGTTCGTTGTAGGGAAGAGAGGGCCAAAGGCGAAGGAGAAGAAGAACAAGAAGAAGAAGAGGAAGCTGACAGAGAGAGCCCAGGAGCAGCACAGCGTCTTCCTTGCTACAGACAGGGCCAACCAGTAAAATAAGAGACACATCGGGTGGATTTTTTTTTTTTTTTTTTGCAAAAGTGCACAAAGCTACTCTCCATTCCCCGACACTGGTGCACGGTGTTTGTGCTGCTCTGACCGCTATCCATTCCCAGTGACATTGTGAAAGGAGGAGCCTTGCTGGCCTCTGTTATTTATGCTTTGATTTGCAGCCGGAGACTGTGAAGGTGGGAGCTTGTGACCTGAATCGGAGGAAGTGGGAGTGAGTGTATAGCATGGGACTGGGCTCGGTGTGCAACACCGCCCAACGTGAGGCTGCAGACCTCCACTGGAGAGCGGACTTGTGCATATTTATGGGAAGGAAGATGTTTAACAAGCAAAGTGCTATTTCACTTGTGCCCTCCATTTCTCACATTGTGCACTGTCAAGAATACATGTATGTGGATATCTGCTTAATGTTACATGTTCCCGGCATCTGTTCCCTTCAAACTGTTGTGGGATGGAACTGTTCTTAGCTGGGGATATGCTACAGGAATTCCTGCGCAGTCTCACAGCGGCTCTGATATGTACATATTCCGCTGGGGCTATGCATAAACCTCTTACTGTATATTTATGCTCTCTTATGCGTAACAAGTCATACCTGATTAATAGATGTCACTTTGTTTTTTAGTGGTTCCTAACTGTTGTCCAGTAAATGGCTGTTCTAGTTTTGAGAATTGACAAGTGTTTTGTTGCCCCTTGAACTTTACCTTTTCTTTTCTTTGTGGGCTTATTTCTCACTGTAAGGAGAGGATGAGCTAGTTTGGACATAGGGTCAAATGACCGATGTCAAAGAATGTATCTCCTCACAAGATAAAGCAGCATCTGGCAGTCAGAAACCTGAAGTCCCTTTCAGTCTACGATGGAATGACATCATGAAACACACCTGAAACGTGAGGAATTACATGCAGCCATTCCTAATACTTGTCATACAACTTTACAAGCTAGCAAGAGAACTTCCAAACTTCAGTAAGTGTATATGCATCATTTAAAGCAGTCCCTGACTTAGTGACAGGGCGCCTTCCAGTATTCTTGGGTCACTGTAGGAGCTACCATCATAAGACTATGCTTTGGATCTGAGGAGAAATCAAGATGAATTCCTATAACTGTTGGTCAGATCTTAACAGGTCCTCTTGGAGCCAGAATGTATTTTATGGCTGAGATGGGGAGGAATGGCGTGGGAGCTCCTAGGGGATGGTTTCAGAGTTGTGGTTTCGAAAACATCCTTGTCCCCTTGCAGGGAACCAGCTCTTAAAGGATTTTGAATTGGCTACTTCTAAAAGCATCATTATCTTCCTGGATGATCCAAAAGAAATGGTTGCAGATTTTTTGAGGAAAAAGCAAAGCAAGGTAAAAGCCTTTCTCTCACCTTGCATTGGCAAAACTACCTCTTTAGCATTTTTTGGTTAACTTTCGAGTCAAAAGCATCTTACCAATAAGTATAAATGTCATATACATCATTATGAAAATATTGTTATGAGATAAGCCATATATGAATGTTGTATTCGACTTTAGGGTTTGCATTTAATCCTGAAGTGTTCACCTCCTTTCCTATCTATGTACACTATATTCCTATTGCTAAGCAGGGAGGGGGATCTTGTATAGTGCTTCATTGTTAATAAGTCAAAACCTGTTCTATTTCTGGGATATTCTTTTCATGCATTAAAAAACTTCCAAAGTATTTGTGGAAATTCGCTTTTCTTTTGAGATTTAGGAAAAAAAACCCAACCCTCAAATGATGGTCCTTAAAAAAGTAAAAACCAAATTTTCAAATCTATGCTAGTAACTATATCTAAGGCACTAAATAGGTTAGCTATAAATTACGTGGTAATGGAGTATTAAGAGTGGGGATTTTAGGAATTAACAAAAGAGACAGACTCATAGATAAACTATCTCAAAGGTGGGGGTGGGGAGTAGGCTGGGGGATTGAGCAAAAGAAATTCATGGATACAGACCACAGGGAGGATAAATGGTGATGGATAGGGACTTGGGGTGGTGAACACCTTACAGTGTACAGATGGTGTGTTATGGATTTGCACATCTGAAAACTACATAATTTTGTCAATCAGTGTCATTCTAATAAATTAGATAAAAAGGAAAAAAAATTCAAAAGAGAAGAAATTTTAGAGCCAGACCGAATTCCAGTATAGACTGAGAACAGCCTGAGGCAAATTATTTAATTTATCCAGGTCTGTTTACTCATCTGTAAAATGAAGGTAACAATATTACCTACCTTCAGGGCTGTGCTTTAAGGGCTGAATTTAGTAAAAATATGCATAGGGTTGTGTTTTGAAGATTATATCAGGTAAAATGTGTAAAGTATGGTCAAAACAGCATGATATATACTAAGAATTACATAAGTTGTGACCTGTTATTCTTTTTAACTACCTATGTCCCGGGCTATTTAAATTATTCTAAAATATTCATTTCTAAAAAAACAAAACAAAACAAAAAAAATCAGCTCCCTTCAATTTACTGTTTGATGCCTGGACATTATTTGCTCAAACTTTTATTCTAAGGGGAATTAATATATAGCTGTAACACACACACATGCTACAGTGTAATTTTAGCTTCTGGGCAGTTATAAAAAGAGCTGGTGGTTTCCCTCAAATAGATATACCATTCTATATTGTATAAAATATATATATGACCGGTTTTCTTCCCAATATTTTCACGAAGCTTAGTGTCTGTAAAAGATGGGACTACAACTTTCACAATTCAGAGGTTTGAGTTGGGAGTGGGTGAAATGGGAGAAGGTGATCAAAAGGTACAAACTTCCAGTTATAAAAGTCATAGGGATCTAAGGTACAGCATGGTGACTATAGTTAACACATAGTTAACTGCATATTTGAAAGTTGCCAAGATTAAACATTTTAAATATCCTCATCACAAGAAATAAAAATTGACAAATCAGAGCTTAAAAACCAATTTTTGCCAAAACCGGTTTGGCTCAGTGGATAGAGTGTCAGCTGGCAGAGGGGTCCCAGGTTTGATTCCGGCCAAAGGCATGTACCTTGGCTGCAGGCACATCCCTAGTAGGGGGTGTGCAGGAGGCAACTGATCAATATTTCTCTCTCATTGATGTTTCTAACTCCCTTCCTCTCTGTAAAAAATTATATATATATATATATATATATATATATATATATATATATATATGCCAGTTTTATAAATGTTCCTATTTTTCAAGATGTGTCAAAGATTTAGATGTTTTGAGTTAAAACTAGATTTTCTGATACTATATATAAAAGTTATTATTTTGTAGTGGTTTTCCAATTTTCCCAATACCACTTATTGAAAATACACAGAAGAAAATATAGGTGCTAAACCTGGTTTCAGAGCATTTTTTTGTGAACTTAACCTCAAGGGCAAGGGAAGTAAAAGCAAAAATAAATGAATAGGACTACATCCACTAAAAAGCTTCTGCACAGCAAAATAAACTATCAACAAAAGAAAAAGATATCCAATTAAATGGGAGATTTACAAGCAATACCTTTATAAGGGACTAATATCCAAAATATACAGACTCATACAACTCAACACCAATACCCCTGCACCAATTAAAAAGATGGGCAGAGAACCTGAACAGACAATTTGCCCGAGAAGATATGGCCCATAAATATATGAAAAGATGCTCAACTTTACTAGGTATAAGGGAAATGGAAATCAAAACCACAATGAGACACCACCTCACCTATGTTAGAATGCCTTTTAGCAATAAAACAGTGTTGGAGAGGATGTGGAGAAAAGAGAACCCTGGCACACTGCTGGTGGGAAAGTTAAACTGGTGCAGCCTCTGTGAAAAACTAAGTTCCTCAAAAAGAATCAAGCTACTGTATGACTTAGCAATCCCTCTTCAGTGTATTTCCCCACCCCCCAAATTTTGAAAACACCTATTTATAAAGGTATATATACCTCTATGCTCACTGCAACATTATTCACAATAGCCAAGACATGGAAACACAAAGGTGAAAGATTGGATTTGATCTAAATGCGTAGAAAATCAGTGGAGGATTTAAACAGCTTAATGATGTGATAACATTCTTCTGCCATATTCACTTGGGCTGCAGTGTGGAAGGTAGACATTCAGAACGAAGGCAGAGAGACCAATTTTTGCAGTAATCAGATGAGAATTAGTGTGTCTTGGGCTGGTTGGTAGCAGTAGAAGAAGAGAAGTGTTTGGATTCAGGACATAATTTGGCAGAAGAACCTGCAAGACTTGCTGATGAGTTGCATGGAGAGGGTAGTGGTGAAGGGAAAAAAGGAAACCATTATGCCTCCTGGGTTTCTTACCCTAAGCAACAGAACATATAGGGAAGATGGGGAAAACTGGGAAATAAAAATAAGCCATTTTCACATGCTAAGTTTAACATGCCTGTTAGATATTTATGTGGAAATACCAAGTAGGCAACTAGATATAAACCTGGAGTTTAGGGGAAAGTTCAGAGCTAGAAATAAACTATTTGTGGGATATCAATATATAAAAGGCACTTAGTACCAAGGAACTTTATGGGCTGACCAGAGAGAGAATGTACAAGGGGGAGAAAAAGAGCCTTAGATGTACCAAGCCTTAGATATTGACCAGAGAAGGCGGCACCAAGAGAGAGATTATGACAAAGTGTCCAGGGAGGAAAACCAGGAGCAGGTAAGTCACTAAGAGTGACCAAGGGACTCAAGACTTACATAGTTCTTTTGCCCCTTATTTTAGAATAAAAATATCAGGATAAGTGAAGGGCAATTAGGAAAAATTTGTAATAATTATGGAGTTTGGACTTCTCAAATATTTTTCCTCATTGTACACTCCAAGAGCAAAACTTAAAAGCTCATTGAAAATGGTTTTGATGTAAAAAGAACATAAAATAAGTCAATGCTTAAAAACTTTCACAACTAGTCTTCACATAAATGTGATAATGATACTTAATTTCAGGTTACCATATCACCTACCAATTTCATCTACATTTATAATGAAATAATTATCTCAATGACTCTACAAAGAATTTCCCTTTATTTCTTTCAAATTTAATAAAATATGTTAAATGAACAACAAAACTAGTCTGTGAATTATAGGTCCTTGGGTTTGTAATTTTCAACAATGAGGATTTTTAAAACTTGTAATTATTGAGATACTTTGGTAACAACTCTCGGACATAAGAGCCTACATGTTTGAACAGAGACACAATCACGGTATTTAACTGAAGAGTGTTAAAGGTATTTTTTTCAGAGTTCAGTACGTAAAATAGGATAACTAAAATTTTAAGTACTTGCATGACACTTTTTAATAAAATAAATATGTTCTTAATCTTTTTTCCCATCATACATGCTTCTCCCAAGTTTACTCTTTCCTACATCTATCACCTGGAAAAACTACAATAGATGTGACAGGGACTTCTAGTGCTTAGCTACATCTAGTTCTTTCCTTTCTGGCCACCAAGCAGCAGTCCATTTCTCAATTCCTTTGTAGTTAGATGAAGCCTTGAGATTTATTTTAACCAAAGGAATCTGATTGGGAATTGCATGAAACTGCAAGGCTGGGTCACTTCAGAGCAAGTACAAGTTCTGCACAATTTCTTTTCCCATTGGGCTGGGATCATAAAGGTAGCACTACAAGGTGAAAGCAGCCTGCATCTGAGTCTCTGCCTTGAAAAGAGTTGCCTTGGGTGGTTGCCCAACCTAAATCAGACTTTGCATGAGCAAAGAAATACACCTTTATTGTACTAAGCCACTGAGGTTGTGAGGTTATTGGTACCATAGTATGGCCTGACATTATTCTGTAATGCTTTTTTTCATGGGATCAAGAAACTCTATTACTTATTAGTTGAAACATGATCAGTAAAGAAAAGCAGAAAAGTCAAAATGATGTTTGACTAGAATAAATAACTTAGGTTAGTTTAGAATTAGAAGAATGACATTTATTTTTAATGAAGCATCTCATTTTATGAAAGATATTGGCATTCTGATGATGGTGATAAAATAACTTATTGTAAAACTTAAAAAAAATTTTCTACAATATTGTTAGATAGCCAAGGCAAACATAATCTTCATAAGTTTTCTCCACATATCTACCATATTCAACAAGTGTAGGTAACCTATATAATGCTACTAGTGAGAGACCAACCAGGATTAAGGTTCCCGTACTCCTCTATCTGCAGACACATGAACATACAGTTACTTAGGGAGCAATTACCACTGCTGAGTAACTCCTACACATTGGGCGAATAAGAAAATACCTACATCAAATGGGTAGATAAGGCTGAGACACACCCTCATTTAACCCCAACCCCCAGCAGCGTGCCATTCAATGAAGAGGAAACTCTCAACTCCCAACTTCTCCCTGGGAAGGGAAAGATTTAGCACCTCAACTTTAAGACTCCAAGAGAAAAGGAACATCAAAATACCTTGCTTTGGAAGCCAACAAGGCTCATATCCAGAAGACTCATGAGACTATAAAAAAAAAAAAAAAAAGCCAGTAGTTAATGAATGGGAACACTCCCATGGCTATGCCCCCAGGGCACAATGCAGGGGGAACTGCAAAATTGCCCATCTTTCAGTCTTTTCCCCAAAGGGATCCAGCTGCACACTTTGAAAGCTGCTGCTGCCTGAGGTTCAGGCTTCATCTAGGGGCTGCCTGTGGTCCTCCCCAGAGACCAGGCAAACAGGCAAATTGCTCCACCACCTTTGCTT